AAAAGACTTCGTTTAAACATCTTTGTACGATACCTTATGCACTTATACTAAATAAGAAGTTGAACCAACAAACAAAGAATATGTATGAGAATAACTCAGTCAATCCATTTCAGCAAGCTATTACGCGAATCAAATTAGGAGATGTTAATCTAACTTTCAATTTAACTAGTTTCACTGGAGTTTAAGGGACATCAGACCCCAGGGACTTACTGCCTTCCATTATTTTAAATTAACTGTTCTAATTAAACGTTTATCTTTTTTAATTCTGTTGGCTGGCACCTGCAAAATATCATTAGTCTCTATATATAGGCGTACAACACAGAGCTGTTGCATGAAAATTCCAGGAAAAGAAGGGACATAATTTTAAGTAAGAAATATTTCAAATTTTATTTTCTTTTTTACCTTTCACTGTAATAATTTATGCACAGTGACTGAGTTTATAATGATGTGCTCTTTCTTCCAGATTCTGTTCAAGTTGGTGCTGTATAAAATTATTCTTTCTTCATGAAGTCCAGACATTCTAATATTTTTCGTATCTGCCTCTTGCGTTTCTTCTTAAAGCTGGTATAATTTTGTTTAATTCTAATGCAATGACTGATACAAGTTGTCATAATACTATTTTAATTATGCTTTTATCTTAATATATTTAATTCGCTAGTAACTTTCTCAATATTGAATGATTCTTAATCTTTAATTTGGTTATATGAATCCGAAATTTATCAAATTTTACGTGGAATGTAACTGTATTCTACTGCGTACCAGTCTGGCATGTGCGTTGCTTATGATTACATTTAAAACGTGATAATCAGGAGATCAAACCTCGAGTCAAACTGTCAGTATAGCGGACGCTCAGGAACTTCGTGGGAAGCAAAACTTCCTCGATAGTAAAGCTTGTGAAACAAGCCACCTGAAAAATACGATTATGGTGACATCAAGGATAATACATATACTGATAGTCATGGTAAATTGCAATTTATACTCCTTTCACTCCCCATTACAATTTGCGATACGTATGGCATTTTAGATGTACTTCAGAATTTTGCATGAATGTTTATTAACTTCACCGTATCTATAATTTTGTAGGCTCAGTGTACCTACCGGTCACGGCAGCCGAGCGATCTAGGGCATGTACTGATTCGCTCGCTCTGAAGCAGGGATAGTGGGTTCGAATCCCATACAAGGCATGGGTTTTTGATATATATATATGTGTGTGTGTGTGTGTTTATTCTGTTTGTGTTTTCCTGTGTTTAGGTAGAGGCCTTGCGACGAGCTGATCACTCATCCAAGGAGTCCTACAGTCCGTAAAATGGTCATGAAAATTAAAAAAAAGAGGCCCGGGCCCAACGTAGTTTTAGAACCAGTGAAAAAACAAGTAGTGTACCTGATAATGAGTATAGATGGACTGTTTGGAGAAATCTAGTGCCCAGAGTCCTTCAAAACGTTATACGATATCTGAGATCTCAAAGCAATTGATATTAACTTCATGGCCTTCTGGAATGTGCCTTTTCTTCTACCCTGAAAATGGAGGCAGAATTTTCCTCTGAAATATTACTGCCTGCCTACCAAACTATATATTGTCTCATCTCAAAGGACCATAATATTACTAACATTCGCAGAACAAATGTACGCTTCGACTAACTTCTGCACACGCTACTAGACGTACGAAATCAACAAGCCCCTTCAATAAGAATAGCTGACCCCCTTCCTGAAATTCAGACCGAAGTCTCGAAGAAACAATATTCTGTGCAATAATTAATCGGATGAAGATGACATGTAAACAAACGCGGTAGCGTAGTTTGTTGAGACACTGTGTTACAAGCCGGAAATTCGCGGGTTCGAGTGCCCGATGAGGTGGATGTTTTTAAATTTACCTAATCCTTCAGCCGCACTATGGCCTTGAGGTCTACTCAGCCTCTGGCAGAAATGAATACCAGGAATCTTCCTGGGGGTTAAAAGGCGGCCGGCGCTTAAGGCTGATAACCTTACCGCCATCTGTGAACCGATTGTCTAGAAGATGTGAAAGCCTCGACCTCTCACAACCTTATGTGCCTTCACAGCCTGTTACATGGATAGCTTTATCTTTTTATGGATATAGTATAAGAGTTGCTTCTCAGTTGTTCAATTTGACTTGCATGAAGAAACTCATTTTCTATATCCTCCCAGCCCCAAAATAATAAATATCCATAACTGCTTACTAAATTTACTAACCCCCAGTTTCAAGGCGAAAAGCTTTATTTGAGGAAAAAATTTGAATGCTGCATGACAGCAATAATAGACTAACATGTGACTCCTGCCAGGAATCAGATGTTCAACAATATTTTCCCACTCAGGCCATACTCCGAACTATGTGGCATCCAATACAGATTGGAGACGTGACTGCCGTGTCTAGGCACGATGCAATAAAAAGGATAGCATCAAGTTACTTCAGCCTCTGAGTGCCTCAGTACCACAGAACAGGAAGCCGGCCGGAACACCGAATAGCTCTGTACGCGGATGTAAGGGGAACACTGTCCAAATTCGGTGCAGAAAATTTATTAAGATCAAGTCCATAGAATGCCACTTCATTGATTACTTTACCGAGACTCCGGTATCTCATCGGAAGGTCTCATTAAGATAAGAGGTTAACATCCTAGAAACGATAACTGCCTTGAGCGTTGCTGTCAATAGTACCCGGACACTGAGGAAGGTTCTGGGCTGCGCCATAGCTCAAGCGGTTAGTCGCTGGCTTCCCACCGGGGCGGCCCGGGTTCCATCCCGGCTCTGGTCAAGTAGGATTTGTGGTGGACAAAGTGGCGCTGGGGCGGGTTTTCTCCTAGTACTTCGGTTTTCTCTGCAAATCTTCATTTCACAAAATTCTCCATCATCATAATTACCCGGGTCAGGTACAGTAGGCCAATCAGTGGCCCCCGTGCCGAGTGGACCCAGTTGGACTCCACCCTCCACTAAGCGTATTAAAAAAATTAAGAAAGGTTCTGAGTTCGTTGTTTGCCTGGCTATAATATCTCAATCAGGTAAAGGTCAATGTTTCCTTAATTTATGCACGGAAACGGAGTATTTATCCTTTCGGTTTGTATCATTGCTTCCTTTATATTTGTGGTTTTTTAATGACGCTTCCAGTTGCTCAGACTACATTTTGCGGAGTGGCAGGATGACTAATGAATAATGAAATAAAGGAATGTGGGAGGAAATATTCTTAACCTAATTTTAGTTTACATACCGATATTCGCTTAGAGGGACCAAGAAAAACCACTAAAATTCCAGCTGAGGATAATCAGTACTCCTGGCGAGATTCAAACCGGGCACCTCCTGACCATTGATCAGAAGTGCCACCGCTTCAATCAGCTTCCTTGGTCTGAGCGATTGATTAGTAGGATATGGTAAGACGCAATTCCAACTGGTGAAATTATAAGCTTATAGAATCCACTGAGAGGAGGACATGATATAAATTGTAGGTACGATTTTAGAAAAGATACTCATAGCCTATTTAAAGGTACTATCCTGGTGTTAGTCTGCAGAAACTGAAGAAAACTACAACAGCCCTGAATAGGACAGACGGTAATAGTACGATATTTGAAATCCTTATGTATCATTAAAATTTAAAGCTTTGCTGCCTCACAAATCTGCTCGATTAATTTGTTTAATAGGGACATAAGAAAATGTGGGCTTATAATTCAGGAGCAGACTGCATGAATTGATGTGTCAATGCTTATGATTTTTTTTCGCAATCAAATATTGCTTACCGAGGGTCACATGTGAAATATATCTAATTCGCTCATCCTTCTAATTTAAAATTTCTAGCTCGCTACACGTTACGATTGAATGTGATGGCATAGCGGTAACGCTGAAGATTCGTATCTGGGATGTGCTCGATTCGATTCTCGACCGGGACGTCGACTATCTTGACTGATGTTTATCGTGTTTTTTTTTCTCAGCCCCTCCAAGAAAAATCCAGGAGAGTGTCTCGATTAGGCCAAGACCGTTTTTTTTTCCCCAAATCATCATTCACCTACCACCTATCCATTCGACGCTAATTATCTAGTTACTGAAGGCGTCGCTAAAGACAGCACAAGTAAACAAAAAATGCACATTGGTTTATCCTATAAGGGCTTATGAATTGTTGATGGCGTGAAGGTGACCCTAACTGCAACTGAAGCTGCCATAACCCCCGCAAAGTATATGTTGGTTTCGACAATATTGCAAGGTTCTGAGCACATTTCAAAGTAAAACCCGATGGCTACATTTTTCACGGCTGCGTCAGCGAGGCAGGGCTTCACGGGGAGTCGGCGGCGAGTTCTTCACAACAAGAAGAGACGACTGCCTTCCTTTTTTGCCCTGGCAACGCTGGAGGGAGTTATGCGTGCTATTCCATCGTGGGTTGACTTAGGTTGGGTTAGAGCGCCTGCTTGTTCTCAGCCTTCCTTCGTCTGTCTAAAGTCTGGCCACTCGCACTATACACCTGTTCATGGAACCCCCGATTTTTGGAGAGTTCGTGACAATTACAGATCATGTCTTTACACCGAACATGCCACTTATCGCCTTTCTAAATTTCCATATCGCCTTTGTAGCTGGTCAGTCAAATATAAAAGTGACTGCCCACCATGCCGAAATAATTACGAATTCCTTTCCCCGCCACGACAGTTACGTCGCGTTATGTGAGCGCCCTGGCCAGGAGGCAGGCAGACATGTACCTAGCGACCAGTGTCGTTGCCCTTTCCGTCTGCTTCTTCCCTACCTCTCTCCTACTAAACTTCTTTCTTTCTCTTTCGCTCTCTCTTTCTCGTGTCCACCGTCACCCCTTGCTCTCCTCCTTTTCCTTTTCTCAAATACGTCTTGCTTTCTACCTTTTCTGTTATTTCTTCTTCTTCTTCCATTCTCCACCTGCGATGAGTCTCAATCCACCTGCCAGGAACGCGAGCCTCGACAAGGGATTGGTCGGCAGGTTACCGCACTAGTCAAGACCACTACCAGCAGGAACGTCGTCCGTAGACCGCTTTAGTGCCGCGCCGAGAGCGCATGTGACTCTTCGGTTGGCAATCGTGCAGCACAAGAACAAACTTCGCTCTCCTAATACGGAAGGGGTGACTCGGTGGTGTGTTGGCAGATTCTCGAGAGAGGAAAACTACTTGTTTACGGTGTAAAACACTTCATCAACGACTCTCGTAGTGTGTAGCGGTCAAGGCTACTCCAACCTAAACTGACCGAACACTTTAACTTGTGAATCGAGAACCTGGTGAATTTAATGTTGCAGACATAGACACGCAAGAACTGCGAGCTTCTGTTTTCGTAAGCCGCAAACGGAAGTGTGTGACATGACATTTACTGCATAAGCCGTTAATTATAGTGAAGGAACAAAACGCTATCCATTTTTCAGTATCACGAGATGTGACAAGACATGAACTGAGCGACTTGTGACAGTATTTCAGTTTTAGTGATCCTCCTTTCATCCGTAGAGAACATAACCTGAACCCTGCCTGTGTTTTGTATAGCAGAGTTGTGAGTGGACTTGCGAGCGAGTGTGTGGTGCTTGTCGGACCGGGTTCGCGAGGCTGTCGCATGCCGTTATGTGGCGGCCACCGAGTGACTGGCTAACTACACTTCGGCCACAGCTAGAATCAAGAGGAAGATAGCTCGCCGCTACTTCCCCTTCCTACATCCCCAGCCGAGCTGTCGGTAGCCATGTGCCTGTCCGCAACCCCACTCGTCGTCTGCTGACACTCTCAATATTGCACGCAATCAAGGTAAGCACTACAAAACTCATAATCCGGGCACTGAGACTATTTCATAATTCAGATTATAATCTTACTTTTTTAATGAAAATGGAAGGACAGAAACATTTGTCATTCTTCGAGTGAAGATGTGAATGTTCTTTTTCCAGAATTCTCAATGTACGCCAGCTCTCAGTTAAATATTATGCAATAACGAATGGTATATATTCATTATATATTATGTCCTAATAATTGTAGGTCTGAGTTGTCAAAACCCACTCACTACACGTGGTCCATCTTGTCCCCTTCAAGAGAAGTCACGACTCCATTACATTTCAAAGTACCTTACTAGGCAAGCAGAGCGATATTGTGACTGATAAGCTGAACCTGCACTGATATCACGTTTTTAATTATTTCTTGCAACATTTATGTTTATTTTTTCCATTCAAATTAATTGCCAAAGAAGCCCCCCCCCATCTCTCCTTTCCTCTTCTCCTACCATCCATAGAAGCTGTAGGCTATTACGCTAGGAAGCGAACACTTTCATCAACATCTATGTCTTTTTGTTTGTCAGCAATTGACAATTCCTTAAGTTAACATAGTACACAAATAATATTTCTGATGCCTAAATATGCTTTTGTCATATCTGATTAATTTTTCCCCTTCAAATAAACTGCAACGAAGATCTTCCCCCGACCTTTAATAATTTTTAAATTTCAATGTAATTCAGTGTTACGAGCCCTCAATTCTGGAACATTTCTAATGTCTGCCTTCAACAACCTTTGACAAAGTCCACCATGTGAACTATTAAGCAATCCTTGAAGTACAGATAGAGTGACCAGAGCTCCATAAAACATTCAATCCGAGACAAAAGAAATATTAAATTACGTGAAAATATTAAAAATAGACAGTAAGATGTCATAATTAAAACTTAAAAGGAATCCACCCTTAAACCAAATAATGTATTTATGTAATCACGGAAACCCCGCTGTTTACATTCTGATTCCTTGACTGCTTGTCAAGAAAACAATGTTCATGTGAATGCAAATATTAAATTTACATGTAACAGATTATTGATTCAGATCCTCTGTATATGATTTATTTCTGCATAATCTCTATTCTTAATATCCTTGATGTACATGTGACCTAATTTGTTATTCTATTCCTTCTAATTGGGGACACGCGATAGCGTAGTTGGTTGAGGCACTATGCCTCCCGATGAGGTCATTGGATTTTTTTTTCAATTGACCTAATCCTTCCAGCAGCACTATGGCCCTGGGGTCGATTTAGCCTCTAACAGAAATGAGTACCAGGAATATTCTTGGGGTTAAAGAGTGGCCGGCGCGTAAGGCTCACAACCTTGCCGCCATGTATGAGCCGATTGTCTAGATAATGTGGGAACTTCAATATCTCACAACCCTATGGGCCTCCACGGCCTGTTACAGGAATACCTTTACTTCTACTTTTTACTTTATTCATTCTAATTGTATTCCTTTAAGATAACCGGAACGAACGGTTATAGATAATTTTTTGTCGTGATAATAATGATAACGCAAGCGAATAACAGGTTTCGAAGTGAAATGTCGCGATAAGCAAAGAAATTAGTATTAGAAAACTAACATGAAAATATCTCATTACGAGTAATGCCTTCTGCCAGCCAGTTTATAATCCCGACGTCTCATTCTAATTTACAAAATATTAAAATACATCATACAAAATTGTAATTTTATATGGGTGTGAACCTTGACCTCTGACCCTAAGAGAAGAACATAGATTGAGGTTGTTTGAGAACACAGTGCTGAGGATAATATTTGGACGCAAAATAAATTAAGAAAATGGGCACCTAGGAAACTTCGTAATGAGGAACTTTAGCAAATACCGTATTTACGCATGTATAGGCCGCGTGCGTGTATAGGCCGCAGCACAATTTTCAGACAGAAATTATAGAAAAAATAATTTTCTTGGAATATTATTTCAGGAGTAGAACACCCTGTGTTATTAATTATGAATATAATTTTTTTAAATGAAGTGTGATTTCGAATATTTCGAATATAAGCCGCACCCCAGTTTTCCTCTTGAATTTTTGGCAAAAAATGTGCGGCCTATACATGCGTAAATACGGTATTGCACTGTTCACTTATGTTGATGAAGTCAAGGAGGGTAAGAAAGGATAGGACATATATCTCGCATCGTGAAGATGAGAAAGGATTAGAGAATTAGTGGGAAAAACCTGAAGGAAAGAAGTCATTTGTGATATATAAGCGTATATAGAAAGTCGATTTCAAAGTCTGTTAAATAAAAATAGTGTGAATGTAAAGATTTCATTCAGTTGACTCGGGATAGAGTTAAGTGACGTGCTTCTATGAACATCGGCTTTGATGTAGTCATAGGATATACATTGTAATTCACTTTACGGGACAGACCCAATTTGTGAAAGAAATAAACTTGAATTAAATTTAAATCAAGGATTTGAGGCTTTCACGGCGGTGACTATGAAGAAAGCAGTCTTCTGGGATTTGGCACCGTGTATATGTGGTGTTAACAGTCTGCTTTACCGTTTCTCACGGTGTTGTCGCTTGCAGATTTCTTAAACTTTTTCTTCAACCCTGAAGATGGGGGCGATACGTTCCTCCGAAACGTCGGTTAACACCACATATACACGGTGCCAAATCCCAGAAGACTGCTTTCTTAAATCAAGGAGTTCGCGTATGATATATCGATATGGGATACAGAGGACTGGAACTTTAGTGGAAGTGTATTTGCGCCATGAATTATATTACCTTAATTTGCATGGTGTGACTGAGAAAGTTAGATTTCCAAGAGATACTTTTCTCTTACAAGTATTTGTATCTGCAAACATAACGGAGTTCATTAGAAGCAGGAATTATACACAATTGGCCTATAAGCTCATTTCGCTGATCTCCATCAGGAATCGTGTTATACACCAATAAACTCAGGGAACTAATGTACAGAGAGGAAATTCTGTTCATCCGAATGTTCAGTGATGTTAGAACTAAATAACCACCGAAGTAGGAAAAAAAAAATCTGATTGCTCAGAATCCACGGGGGTCGTTCTGTTTTTCAAGGCAGTCTTAATTATTGCATAAATTCCTCTTCCTTTTTACTCAAAGAAAGATATGAAACTGGAAAACAGAGCTGTATGCCTGCCTGAACCAAATACAGGATGACCTGTTCCACCACCAAGCCAGTGGTGCAGCTTCACAGTTCGAAGGAAGTAGCAATTTACCTCCACCGTCGCACCTATCGACACTCTAATGAGCAAGTTAATTAAGTTATGATATGCTGAACTATAAGTGCGTTGTAACTTAGATGCTTTATGTTAGGTTTCGAGAGTCTTTCAAAGACCTGATCACGCAACGAGTACGAAAGACCCTGTCTTTCTGAGAGTCCAGATTGTCCCTTTATTTTCTTTAAAAGCTGTGTCATAAATGAAAATACTAATTCATCCAGACGCAGGAAAATAATTTCGTAGTTTTCTGCAGTTCGTTCAGGCGGATCCCGAAATGAGCTCTCGTTGCATCTCGGCTCCTCGTTCCTTGGTCTCTGCAGAGGATCTACATATACTGCAATAGATTTTATTACCATCATTGCTAAGAGCACGGGGTAACGTAGTCGTTTGAGGCACTATGCTACAAGCCCGAATGTCTCTGACTCGACCCCCTATGAGGTCATTGGATTTTTCAAATGACCTAATCCTTCCATCGGAGGTTAGTCGCTGGCTTCCCACCGCGGCGGCCCGGGTTCGATCCCAGGTCTGGTCAAGTGGGATTTGTGGAGGACAAAGTGGCGCTGGGGCAGGTTTTCTCGGAGTATTTCGGTTTCCTCTGCCAATCTTCATTCCACCAAATTCTCCATCATCATAATCACCCGGGGTAGACTACAATAGGCCAATAAATTGCCGCCGTGCCGAGTGGATCCAGTTGGACTCCACCCCCCAATAACTGAACTAAAAAAATCTTTCCATCCGCATTATTGCCCTGGGGTCGAGTCATCCTCTGACAGAAATGAATACCAGGAATCATCCTGGGAGTAAAGGGTGGGCGGCATGTAAGGCTGACAACTTCACCGCCATCTATGAGCCGATTATATAGAAAGTGGGAGCCTCAATGTATCAGAAACCTATTGTCCTCCACGGCTTGTAACAGGGATAGCTTTATTATAATACTTAGAGTGCATGGGAGGAAGAGTGAGGTTAAGTTCGTATATTTCAACTGAAAGGAAGACATCGCTTGTGATACCTAAGAGTAGACGGGAAGATAATATTGTTACGTTTTTATGGCTCCGTGACCAATAATAATGGGTTTTGGATTGGATGATTGTATTTATTAACGCACTTTTGTACACTCACTCGTAATCACAATCAGTTCCAATAACTCACAGTCGAACCCTTCTTCCTTGATTGCCGAGAACCAGCTCCATTCCGATTCTCATTCCTCTCGAAGCGGACCCACAGAAAACACATCAGTTGCTCAGCAATGGATATACTCGTATGTGAACTACATAAGAAACATCTCCTCTGTTGTCAATATTGCGTATTTATTAGCAGGTTACCTAACAATAGATCTATATGTCACAATATTAAACTGGATCTTAAAGAAATAAGGAGGATACTTCTAGCTCAGGACGGAGGTCAGTGAAACACGGAGTGTGTAACATGTATGTCGTCGGCACAATGTAGGTAACCAGGACGCCATCTACGAAACATAAAGCTCTGCGAAAAACAGCAAGCAGAAATAAGTGATGAGTGCCACACAAACAGCACAAAATTTTAAATAATTTTAATAGTTTTCCTAAATATTTTATACCTTAAATTTTCAACATGCGCCAAAATTTGTTTAATTAATATATTTTTCGGATGTACTACACCAACAGGCTATACAGTATTATAATACAGTATATCCATTTACTCGATATATAACAGATGATGATCATTTATGGCCGAAATACTTCGCGGAATTCACATACGTACAGAATAAAGTGATTAACCGATACAGCAGTGTATCTAAATACAT